ATTAACATTATGAATGAATCATAATGTAAATCATAATATTAGTAACATCAAGGATCAAAAAATATGTATTATACAAAATCTCATCTAATGGATAATGTATTACTCAACTAGAAGAAAACTATCGGCTACAATGACATTAAGCTGAAATCACCCGTAAATTGCAATATATATTTATACATATATATTTATGCATGTAAAACCATCATTACATGACACACAAACTTTTGGGAACCACTGCATTTAAAGAACTCCTCAAACAGAACCATCAGTACCAACATTCATTTAACATGTAACCTATTTAGAGCTTGGCAACAATCTGACAAAAATAAGCCATAATATTCTGAGCAACTTAATAAAACATAGGATAGTGTTACTGCTCCATTCACCTCTAAAGTACTTACACCTCACCCTGCTTCAGGTAAAATATAAATTTTTAATATCTATATAAAATATGCAGGGCTGCTATCCAAATTTTTTTATAAAACTTTCCCTCTGTTACATTCCTGCAGTTGCAAAAGTACGTGAAAAATGGGGTTGCAAAAATGTGCCTCTTAGGCTGCAGGGCCAGAACGAGTTTAGCACATCTTTGTTAAATGTGGCATGTATTCACAGTTTTGACTATTACTTTTTTTCTGAATTTTTTCTTCTAACACTTCATTCCCTCACTCAAAGATAAATAAGAGAATGAGGGTGTCAGTATTGATAAGACCCGATGCAAATGCCTGACAGTGTCAGTGGGATCTGAAACCAAAACCTTGGTAACCAATTGCGGGTCTCATGATAAATACAAACTGTCATATTACAAACTAAATTCAAGTAACAAAAAGTAATCAAGTTTTTTCTTAATGAATATTAAATGAATGTTACAAATACTAGGTTTGTTTTAAATATTGAAGACTGATGGAATTTTGACATATCTCCAAGCCCTGTTTCTAATTACAGACACAACCAAGGAAAACAACAAGATTATTATTAAAGTGGTGCAAAGTTAACTGACTATAGAAGAGCTAGAAGTCTCACAGTGAGCAAAAGTGAAGTTCTTGTGACCCTGTTGTTGCATGACTTGTAATGATGGTGCTTGAAACATTAGAAGGCACAATTGCAACATTATGTTGATTAAATATTGAAATTCCAATCATGTTTCTTGGCTAAAGAACATGTTAAATATAAATTAAAATAGATACTGGAATTATGACCAATTTATTTTGATATGTTAACAATCAGAAATTTTTAGTTAATTATTAACTCATTTACACTTTACCCCCTTTCCTTCGTGCCAAATTATGAAAACAATACAAGAAGCTTTAAACACAGAACACATGTTTCAATTGTCTTTGGAGACAAGGAACAGCAATTACAACTGTACGTACACTGTTTAAACATACTACAATTTCACTGATGAATGTGGATTACTGTATTTGCAACATAAGAAGACTAATTGATGCATAACTTGTCAATGTTATTGTTCTGGGTTGTGACAACAATGTGTGGACTTGTATGTAAATACCAACATAACAGAGAAACAGAATGTCTCAATCTTCAGAGACAAAGTTGGTATCTAACCAGAACAACACGTTCAGATTCACTGCTGTGAGAACCTCTAATCTCACATGATGTATAATAATGACATTCTACTAGCTGGTATGGTCATTAAGTATTAATGATAGTTGATGCAAAGGGTTGCAATAGGATTCCTCTGAAAGCACTAAAAATGAAGATGGAAAATAAATGGTTACTGAAAAGACAAAGAGAGGAAGAAATAAAAGAGTAAGAACAGATTGGGCACAGAACAAGACGTAATTTATGGGAGAACAGAAATAAATGGAGGAGACTTGTTCATAAGATGATCCACTGTGGTGACATTGTCACTAATTGGTGGTGGTTGTGATGAGATAATTAGATTATGTGAGATTGTGTATATGAGAAATACATACAAAATTTTTGTCAAAAAGTATGAAGGTAAGAGACAACTTCTATAGTTTTAGGCAGAGATAGGATAATATTAAAACAAATCTTAAAGAAATATGCCATAAACTGGACTCATGTGCCACTAGAATAGATCTGTTCATCACAAATTCTGCACTAAATGACTACGACTCAAACCCAGTTTTGAAGTATAAACCACATATGTCAGCTTAAAGACCGTTGGACTCTCATAACCCGAACTATGGTGAATCCATTGTAACAGTACATAATGTAAGTTTACTTGCCGATACAATGAGCAATGAATATGACCAAAACATAAAAGATAATAACAGCTCCATGCTTCCATGTCTCCAAAGCAGCTTATGAGAAACTCAACTTAAATTTTAAATCACATCAAACAGTAGTAATTCTATTGAAGGGAAATAAAAAGATCCAATGCACCTGCCCTTAAAGTACTGACAGTGAAAAAATATATATATATATATTTGTTCCTCTTTTCTTAAATAATGAATCCCTATATGTTTTTATTAATTTTCTGAAGATACTGTAAATGTAGTTAATATTATAATAGCAGTGAAATGTTAAGTGCTCTGTACTCCACAATGAGACAATGCTATGAACTGGTGGCCCACGCAGTCACTACCTACAGAAGAGATTTCTTCTTGTTTTTATTTTAAGTAGCAAACTACAAAAAACTAACACTACAATGCATCCAGATAGACTTTCCTTAATCATGAAAGTTTAAAAATATCTCTCAACATACAAGACTCATTCATCCTTCATCTAACAAGATTTCTAGCTACTTAACGTCACTGCTAATTTTTCGCAGGAGACTGCAGCAAATACATTAACATTAATACTATATTTACACACAATTATGTACTGGGAGGGTTATACCCATGGCTGTTTGCAACCTTCTTAATTACCATGATTACAAAAAATTAAAACCGATAATAGAGAAATGTTGAATGTGTTAGGCAAAATTCTTAATCCATAACAAAACCCAAGCTTTAGTGGAAGCATATCCATCATTTTCAACTTTCCTAGGTCATTCATTTCAAGATATATAGATAACTAAGAACAGCTAGAATCTTGTTCAAGGGATAAGATACAATGGACAAATTTAAAGTGAAATAAAAAAATGTCAGTTACAGTGACATCGGTAAAATTTATATCTGTCCAACACTGTAAATTAAAGGCACATGTATAAATTTACTTCAAGCAAGCACTGCTACATTATTCTACACTAAGAGATGGAAACTGCCAATGTTTGATATGTTTACCCACATTTTATGCTGGGATCCCGCAGAGTTCGGCTACTGAAGAACTTGTAGTATTTCCTGTATCACGTCCTGAATATGTGATTGTCAAACTATAGACCTAGTGCTGGATTTGTATTTGTGTATGAAAATTTCATTTAGTCATCAAAATTTTAAGTAACAAAATGTACCGACAGTACAACATTTCCAAAATTTTCTACCACTGTGTAATTTAGCCAGATACACTTCCTTTCATTGCCTCATGAACTATAAGTTTTGAGTTTGAACCTCTCTCTGGATCAAAGAGTAATTTTGTCTGTTATATAAACATACAACTGTTAAAAATCTGCTTCCTGCTGCATATTATTTAGTTAGAGATGCCAGGCTTCACAATTAAAATAGATAATTTTTTCTTACAATTTACATCCCTGTCAAACTGCCGTTGACGTTTAGGTTATTTGGGTGGTTTAACACAACATATCAGCCTGACTTTAATTCTGGTCTAAGGAAACAAACACAAGAGAAGAAGCTGTACATAATGTGTGGAGTACTCACATATTGTGAAAACATCTTTGTGTATTTATATCCTATGTTAGTTTATGTATTTATTATTTATTTATAGTTTATTTAACAAAGCTATCAGTAGCTCACAATCTTCCAAGTGATAGGATAATTAATAAATGAGAAAGGTTAAGAAGGAAGCAGTGAAGGCCTAATTAAAGGTACTATACCAGCTATCATCTCGAGGGAATATAAAAAACCCCACAAAAAACGTCAGGATAGTCAGTTCACAGGCCAAGATTTGAATCTGGGACCTCTTGAATATAAAACACAAGAGGTAACAATTCAGCTGCAGCATTTTGCTTCATTAGTTTTTATGTTCATTTATCAGAGGTATAAATTTATTTATACATATTTCAGAGGCATCTTTTTCCTGTCTTATTTTTACAGATATTAATAAATTCTATGCTTCATGCAGTAAATTTGTTTGTATGTTGTGTCACTGTTGAAAAGTGAAAACCTCCTAACTGTTATGTAAATGAAATAAGAGCACACTGAATAATAAATTATGGGTGCTAAAATAGTTGCATTTTTATATGTGTATTTTTAAATTACATAATTTACTGAAAATATATATTCTATTTTATACATGTAGAACTACTGAAACTCACAAGCTTGAATCTAAAAAGAACCTAATTCCTGAAATTAAGCTTCACAATGTGTAGGCTTTATAACACAAATGTTCCTAACATAACCTTGTCATATACTTCATAATGAAATGTGCCTTGCATCTCTAACAAAATAAAATACAGCTTAATTTTTTATTTCTTTATAAATAAAAGCCTCAGAGTGATGTAGCAGGCACTCATTTGAAACACTGTACTTTTCCCCTACCTTCATAACTCTAAATACAGTATTCACAATTTTCACCATCTGGTGATGCAAGCAATCAGAATATCAAACTATGCATTATGAGAAATTGTTAACTGGCTGATCAGGCATAAGATCCTGCATGCCAAGGTTTTTACTTAATTCTCAGTAGTAGTATTGTATTTTGATTCAGGAAAGAAAAAAGAAAGATTCTGAAGGACAATCAAGGGCAAACTGTGGACAAAATAACCAACAGAAGTCACACACACAGAATCTGCATGCTTCCGGAAGAGAAAAGCAAATTTTAGTCTTAAATCCAATCAGAAACGAACAAACATCAAGGAAACATGTAAATAAAATTACTTTTAGTCAAGGTTTTGAAACCTATACATTAACATGGGATGAAATTTCAACATAATTTTCAGTGCAACAAATAACAAAGAGTAACCATTACATTTTTCTTATATTTCTGATATACAGATGTTAAATTTATATCCTAATGAGATCTGAACCGAACTTGCACACTTCAGTCATGCAATCATTTTGTTGTCCTGCAGAAATACTTACTCACTCACACAAACACACAAGAAAAAAGTCAAACTAAACAATATCCACACATTTTTTATGGGTTAGAACACTTTCAATTTACATAGATAACTGCTGTTTAAAAATATAAACTAGACATTCTGAAATTACTGGATGAAGGCGCAACCTGTCATGTTGAAGACAAGTGGAATGAACCATACCTGATGCACTTGCTTTAAGTTCTGTACAAAGTTTCCATTTCAAGTCAAACTAAGGTAAAGGGCTGATAACATTATAGCAAAAATATAACTAAGGTAATAATGAAAACAAGAGAAGAAAAGGTGAAACAAGTATTATGATCACTTTTATCTTGACCCCACAGCCCCTTGGATGTAACACATGATGCACCATTCACCAACAGTATGGTTCCTCTTGCAATGTTGTTCATCATGTCAGAAACGTAAAACCAACACATCTCCATAAAACAGATACACCTATCTTATAAATTCTAATGTAAGTTGATTACCCCAAGAACAAGTTATTCATAAAATTCAGTGGGGAGAAATGAAAGGACAGAATGTCTGGATAATGGATATCCAGGAGCCTCGAAACTGTTTTCAGGTTATTCTGCTAGATGAAATCTGCTGAAAAATTGAATTTGAACCACGGGCATGTAGTAAAACAACCTGAAATAAGTTACAACAACTTCAAGTATAAAGTACTTCCATAGAAGAGTCCTTTTTCAGAAGCTAATAGCCACTCAGCTAGTAAAGAAAATCTCTGCATTTTACAAAACACAGATTTGTTACCACATTCTCAATAGACCACAAGATTTTCATTTAAGAGCACGATAATTCAAACAAATCATAATAGTTAAATGACTTATTTTAAAATCCTTTCTTGTCTCCCTTTACCTGTGTTCATCTTTTGCTGACAGTCAAATAAATGACGGATACCAGCAAATATAATTAAGTTTTTTAACCTTCCGACATGAATTTAATTCTGGTATCAACTTACATCAGGTGCAGAAAAAGCACATTCTCTTGTGTAGCTGCAGCTGAAACAACAGTCCAGTGAGGACATACACCAAAAATATCTAAAAACTGATCTATTATAGACCCAGTCCAAGGGTTCATTGTGCATATTCTGTGACTGGTGGATGCAAATAACCATCAGCATGCCTGTTATCTGCAGGGTATAGTAACAGTACTGTTTGGGTGAACTTGATACCATTTCCATCCCTGAAGTCACAGAATATTGGCACAATCAGGGGAGCATGCAATCACCTGATATTGTTAGCTCCTTCTGTCCACACAATCCTTTCTCCCATAACTGCAGTCTCAACAGTGTACCTGTTCCCAGTTGCACTAGGGTCTACTGCGTATCTTTCCACCAACACCCTGCTTCCTAAAGGATACCTCTCTCCCATATTTCTGGCCTCAACAGGGTGTCCTTGATTCAAAGCCATGGCATCAATGGAATGTCTTATTCCAACAGTGTATCTAGGATCAATGGGAAAAATCTCTCTGGTAGATGGAACCTCTGCATTGCACCATTCTCTATCCATGTGCTGCAATTCTCCAGTAACCCTTGAATCTGCAGAAAATCTTCTAGAATCAACTGAACAACCCTCTACTGCATTTTTAGATCCATCACCTCTGAGCCCAGAATCAACAAGGTGTCTACCTTGCATGACTCTAGCATCAACAGAGTAACAGTCTCTAATGGTTCTAGGTTCTGCTATTAAGGACCTTGAATCAACAGAATGTCTTTCTCTAAGAACTCTAGAATCAACATGGTACCTTTCTGCAAAACCTTTATGACCTGCAGAATTTACTTCTGTAACAAATTTGCTCTCCAGGAACTGCCTCTCACCTACAGACCTAGTGCCAATGTGGTTCCTCTCACTAATACCCAATGCTTCAACGGTATACCTTTCTGGAATCGGTATTACTTTACTGACTGGGTGTCTTCGCCCCATGAGCCTATTATCCATTATGTTTTCAATGGGCCACTGTTCAGTTACGCATCTACTCTTCATAGGAAACCTTCCCCCCATAATTTCATTCTCAGCAGCAAGAATTCTCCTGTCAAGAGGGTGTACTCTGGAATCAACCACATGCCTGTCTCCCATTGTCAGGGAGTCAATAGTGTATGTACCCACTGGGTGTCTTTCAACCACAGCTCTTGTTTCACATCCTGTCACATTATAAGCAATTTCTGCTTGGAAGTCTTTTTTATCCCAGTGGCTACCACCCACCATGGAGATGTGGTTTTGATCCACGATTGCAACATTTGACCTGGCAGCAGTGAGACATATTCCCTTACTGTCTGCTGCCATCTGTCCATTCTTTGAGACAAACCTGGTTGTGGTGTTGGATGTGGATGCATCTGCTGCTTGTAAATCTGCAGGGGCTTCATCACCCATGGTTGCCAAGGATCTTGTCAAATTGTTGCTGTTATTATTACTACCCCCGATCCCACTACTAGCACCACTACAATGAAAGGCACCTAAATCTGGCCTTTGTCATTTGCTGTTTGCTTGGAGTGCTGCATTGATTTGTGCCCACAGATCCTTTTTGCATGATTTGGACCTAAAAACAAACATGTATATATTCATAACTAACTTCTTAAATATGAAAACCTTTTCCAATTGATCAAAAATGTGCAAGACTCTTGTCCTCCCAAAGTAATTTCTTAACAAATTCATTCCTCAAGTCTAGTATTTTTTTTTAATTTGTCCTGCTACACACCATGGTGGTGCTTGTGGGGGGAGAGTGGTCAGCATCATGCCACGGCCATGCTTTACACCCGGGAAACGACACTGGTACCCACTGGATAGGAGGCCGGGTAGGCTCCAGAGCTGGTCTGGATGCAGAGGCTAGAGGAAAAATCTTTTACCCCTGCCAGGGATCAAACCCTGGTAATCCAGTTCAGACAATATACTGACTGAGCTACCCTAGCCAATCAAGTTCATTATATTTAATAAATACATTTAAAAAATGTTTAAAATAAATGTTATAATAGATATACTGTGAAAAATGTTCATTGTTGCAGTGATAACCCAGTTACGAGTGCTTGATCACGATTTCTTTGTGAAAGGCTTCAAGGCACGGAGGTGGTGATTATGTAGAAAATAATGTTACGATGTCTCTGTGCAAACAGTTGTATCTCTGTGGTAATAAATGCCACATCACACTGACCTTGCGCACATTACTTTCAGAACATTATTCATACAATAAGTCCATAAATTACAAACATTTACTTGTATTTCGCTGTAATGTCTGGGCCGATTAAACAGAACACCTTTTTAAATACACATATACACAGTACCCATACATTCTTCTCTTTTCATAACCAAAATCTGAAACCTGTTTGTAATTTAAAATCTTCTACGATTTTTTCAGTGAGATTTCAGGCCCTCATGGAAACAAGTATGAAGACGGCTATCTTCTAGGATGCTCAGCGGTGTAGTCTGGCATATACCGACCAATGTTTCTGAAAAACTAACTGCTTCATCACCCTGAAGATGGAAATAGTAAATTCTCTGAAATACCGGTTCATATCTAACAGACTACCCTGTGTAATGTCCCAGAACACATGACATCTTCGAACTTCAAAAATATTCAGCATGTTTGTTCTTCATCTGTCTCCAAACAGTATTCCATATAAAAGTGTTCAAACAAAGCAACATGTCCTTGTTTAACATATAAATGCTTATTAACAAGGGGCTCCATGTGGCTCTGATTTATAATAATAAATCACAATACCTGCGAATTGATTGCAGCCATTCTTTAAACTGGGTGTTCCCCTCGGGGGTGATTTGAAATGCCGCTCGTGCGGAGCAAACAATGTTCACAAAGTCCTCATAATCAGCTGTGGTAAGGTGATATAGTTTCTGGTGCATACATTGGATGTACCTATGAAAACATGATAATATTAATAACTATGGGTTCTGGTAAGAACTTATGACTACATGAGTTGAAAAGCTCCCAAGATGGGAACAACAGCTTATGGAAGATGTCACAAAGAATGAAAGAAGAATATGGAAAGAAACTGCAGAGGACTTGTGGGAAGACAGATAGATGGAAAGGCTTGGTCATCAGGCAACTCACTTGAAGTGAATGAAGAAATATTTTATGACATTCAGAACTTGTGTGGGTAGCATTCATAAGGATTTACCATCTTGAAATTTACCAACTTCTATTTAACATTCAATCTTATCTTAGTCAAATACCTTATAGTTAAAAATTTTTATATTTAGTCAATATAGAACAAATAGTACGATTCATTATTAACTATAACAAAATTATATTGCCAGTTAACATAATAAAGCATTCATTTACATGCTTCAACTACAAGAAAGTCATCATCAAGTATAATTAAAATTATTTACATTTGAAGAGTAGTACAATGAAATTAAAATAATTCAGCCTAGTTTCAAGTTTAAGTAATTTTAATTACACCTGATGATGACTCCATGTCATACATGAATGCTGTAATGTTAACTAAGAATATAACTTCTGTATAGTTGTTAATATAACTTACCATTTGTTGTATACTGACCAAAAATAAAATTATTCAATTCAAATCCACAAAAGTATGTTCGCATATAAAATATCTAGCCCTTCAGTTCAACGTTCCTTGGTCAGTTTACACAGCAGGACATTAAGTGTGATTAACTGCGATGCCTGGACTTCATTTACATAACACTGTTATGCATTACACACAATATGATAAGATAAAATGTGAACTTACATTTGCTGGCACTTCTGCACAAGTGGGGTAAGTGCTGAGCGTAAGTGCTGCATGATGAGGCCAGGATTGTTGCGAGACAGATAGTGTGCTGCTTCCAATGCCACATCATGCAGGACAAAAGGGCTAACTACGCTGTTTACCGCACAAACACAGAACTGATGAAGATACTGCGTGCCTACAAACATTCGGAAGAAAATTATAACAGTGATTTGCTCCCTCTTACATAGAGCACAGCAAACTTTCATACAACATAATTCAAGGAGTCCAAAGTATTGCCACTGGCATTCCGGGGTGCAACACCGTGTTGATTTAAAGATGGTGACAGTATGTTCCTCTGAAATTATGATATATAACTCTGCATGGCACATGTGTGTGCGAACCAATATGAGGAAAAAATATAAGACTATTTTTATGACTATAATAAATACTGTGGATAAAATCTTCTTATTAATGTTTTATTTTTCTGATCAGGGAATTAGCCTGCAGACGACGTGAAGCTGGCGGACCACAGGTTGCACCTGTCTGTACTAACACCAGACAAACTAATATATTGTGTTATCATATAGTGAGAATAAATGGCATCCCAACATCACGTTGGGATGGCATGACCTTTCCACTATAAATGTTCACTACATTGGTTGCTATGTTTTATAGTCTCCACATCACAGCTGTTTGTGTTCTGGTTTATGACACTGCCTAGTCCTTAAGATGGAGACAGTATGTTACTTCAAACATATGTAATCGCCTAACCACCATGAAAACCTCAATCTCGTCACTGTATCACCTATAATTTCACACAGAAAGTAAGAAGACAATTCCCAAATAAATTTCATAATGAAACTCACCTAGCTTCTTAGCGACCCGGAGAAGCCACTTAACATCTTCACCATAAGGTGGGTTACGCGCATACTTGGCTTGTGGCCGATCGTCATGTACTCTTCTAGCCAAGGTTTCCAGGGCCAACATACCAACTCTGTATGCTGCCAGCAAGTATCGTAACTGTGTCTGGTTAAACTGCTGTGGCTGTTGTCTGTGTACCTGAAGAAAGCAATGTCCAACTTTACACAAGAAATCAGACATGAATCAAAGTGAATGAACAAAATTGGAAAAGTAAACTTCAGTGGAATACACGTATTTTCCAAGCACATTTTTAGTTACTAGGTATTAAGTATACCTCAATGGACTTGATGCTCATTTGCTGTGGACACAAATGTAGTGTTACAAAGGTAATGCTACAGCTACAGCACTGCACAAAGTCTACTTTTACAAAACCTGAAGATTCATTACTGTGTTCACAACAATCTGCCATGGCTCTACCCAACACCAGATAAATCCACTCCACACCTCCAAATTCCATTTCCCTAAAATTTATTTCCTCACATCTACATATAGGTCTTCTGCATGGTCTCTTCCTTTGAGGCTTTCCAAAAGGGTTTGTATGCATTCTCATATCCCCTATGCGTGCTGCATGCCCTGCCAATCTCACCCTCATAGATATAATCATTCTAATAATGTGTGTTGAAAATTATAAATTATGGACATCCCCATTATGCAATTTTCTCCATCCTCATGTCGCTTCATCCCTCTCAGGGCCAAAAATTATCCAATCACCTCTACACTAAATAGTATTCATGTTCCAGCATCCACCAATTGCACAGCCCAATATACAGTCTAACCTGTAAAGTTCCTCCTTGCTGGATTGTGGCGGCTGTAATTGGATATACATGGTGGTGTGGAGGTGCAGCTCCATTTGTATTTGCCACTACGGCTGCAGCTCTCATCCCAACAGCAGTTGAAGTGGTTGGAGCAAGTGTTACAGCAGTACCATAATACTGTAGATTGGGTGGCAAGCCTGGACCTCCTGCATTGGGAGGAAGGTTAGCATAAGCTGCCTGTTGATTGGCAGCATGAGGTGGATATTGGAATGCAGGTGGGGAAAGATACATCTGCAGATGAGGTGGGGGAGGGAGTGTCACTGTGTGGGGATGATGATTTAGTGGACTCCCAAAGTGTGGATGGTGATGAGGGTGAGGATGTAGACCTTGAACTGCAAAGCTGTATGGACTGACTGTGTATGGAACACTCATACCAACACCAAGTGGTGCCAACGTCGTGACCGAAGGATGTTGCGGGTATGGGGGTGGCGGAGTTGTCGTCACAACCACAGACTGGGCGCCCGGCGTGCCTGCAAGGTTTCCTTGTAGAACACCTGTGCTGGGAGAAACCAAGCCTGTGGGCAACTGCTGAGACATTTCTATAGATGGTGGAGTGGGTTCCACCATTGTAACAAGAGCCCCACTGTTTGTGTCTAGACTTAAGGATTCATGGGGCATCTCATTTTCTGTAGGCTGATCTCCACCTCCAGGTGTATGCTTAAACAAAAAATAAATCAATACACATGAACCAGAAGCAGGAAATGCTGAAAGAAAGAATCTTCTTCCTGCCACAAACTTAGACCAATAAATGACCTGTTTCAGCCTCAACATTGTAACTGTCTAGTAGTCTCTTTAACAACTGTGGATGCTTTTTTATTATTTATTATTAACTGCAAATGGGTTTATATCTGGTGGCAGTGGTGCTACAATAAGACACAAAACAACACACATCACACAAAATAACACACCACACTCAAAATGAAACAACTAGCATGATCCTGACAGTTTTGTTTATAACCCTGTGCTAATTTCTTTTCGATTGTGTCCATGTGGAGTTCTTCTAAAATGCCTTCATTCCTTCCACAGTCTAATGAACAGTATCTTGCTGAGGACATCATGAATTTCATATATGCTGCCTTTATTGTTTTTATATCTTTGTTTCAATATTACCAGACGTGATATTTTATTTTACTACTCTCCTTTCTAAAACAGAGCCAAAGCAGCAAGAAATGGCCTTCCCACCATTAATGTTTATTGATAATAAGGATCATTCCCATTTTATGCAAACTATAAAATAAACGATGTGGTTTCATAACAGTGACAACTTACCCTCATGTACAGCTCATACCAGTACTTGGCCACTTGAAACAACACTTCTGGATAAACACCTCCTCCCTTTGCGGCATTCTCCACAGTGAGGCAGGAATGTTCCAGCATAAGGTCACTCTGCTCCTTGCACTGCAACCAGCAAAAAGAAGATATGTAAATTATGCCAGAAGAAGAACTAGGACAAAAAAGATATTTTATCTCAGTAACTGTCCCTGAATCATATCCAAAGTCAGCTGAATTCTGTTCACAACTTCATAATCTGTTTGTCTAATATCCATTTTAATATATTCCTTTCAAAAAATATCCTGCCTTTTATGGAACCTTACAATTCATGACCATGTTCACTGAATATTATCCTGAGACAGATAAATCCAGTCCATATCTTCACACCTTATCTTTAAAGAGCCACTTTAATATTATTTTCCCACCCATGTTTATGTCCTCAAAATAGTCTCTTACCTTCATGTTTCCTAATTAAATTTTGTTTGCATTTCTTACTTCTTTCATGCTCACTATATGCCTTTGTCCTCCTCACCCTCCTTGATTTTATCATCCTAACAGCACATGGTGAAAAGTACAAATTATAATACAGTGAAACCTCGATGCATCGTTTTCGGCGGGGGTGGGAAATAAAAACGATGAATGCGGGAAAACGATAGATGCGGGAAAGCATTAAAAATTTTAAAAAAA